ATTTCTGCTTGCAGTACAGCACTTTACTTTTCAATTTACTGCCCACTACTAAGCACAGCAACCTTTCATGCACTCTTTTTCCATTCCCCTGGGGTCTGAAAATGAATATTTCCGAGCATTGATAGGCTTACAGAAGGCTACCACTGGGATTTCAAGTGTTTATCTTTCAGCATAGGACTTTTGGTAGAAGAACTGATCACAGTTCAATCCACTCCCTTTCAACTTGCAATTTAGGGGTCACATCAAGAGGAGGAAGGAAGGTGGCCAGAATGGCTGGTGATCCCTGAGTTAGCAAAATAATCTCTGCTTTTCAAGGGACTGGTAAGAGCGTTGGTCTGTGCTGAAACTAAAATTAGATGGAGTTTTTTTGGAATTGGCCTGCATATGGCCCATGATACTGGAAATTTTAGTGGATTGGTGATCTTGGAGAATATAGAGCAAAATCTCCCATAGAGAGCTTGCTGCATTTCAGAATGAGTCCTAATTAATCCGTAGACTAAAATTCTAAGCCTCATCTAAACCTAATATGGACCTGGATCCAGACTTCAACATTACCTCCTCAGCTCATCCCTGTTTTCAATATGTTTCTGCAGCTTTTTCCCCACTCTCTTTCTGACCAGTTAGTGAATGGAACATCCATTGGATTTTTAGAAAAGTGAGTGGTTTTAATCAGGGTTATTACCTCTTTCTTCCGTATTCCACTGCAAATCACAGGACCTGCAATGTGGGGATTTACTTAACAGTATGGGAACAAATTGAAGAAGTGTTTACTTTGGCTGATCATTGCTTTACTTTGGCCCCACTGCATTAGTGTCTAAATTCTCAGAACCTGAGTTTCTGAATGACTAGACTGGTTTCATGGCAATGTTACACATAACTTCTGCATTGAACAAGTGTAACATGCACCTGCAGGCCTCCATTCTGCTTTCCAAAGGACCACAGAATCAGAACCATAGAGTTACAAAATGTTTTCTCAATATAGCTGCTCATTTTAACCCACAAGCCAAGAGAATCACACCTGAAAATGGTGATAAGTGAACAATGTTGAAGAGATGCAAAAACACCAGTCTTCCACCCCATTACATTTTTGTCCATGATTTAAGCATCATAATCATTATCCTAATTTAGTTTTATGACCAATGAGGTAAAAAAGGGAAACTAAGGGCATTTATAGACGTGCTCCAAGAGGCAGGGAGGTGGATGCTTTAATTAGCAAGCTGCGCTAATTAAAAGGGCCCAAGCATCATGCGTCCCCATGATGAAACACTGGTGGCAGGGTGCTTTGAACTAAAGTTCGTTCGCCAAGCTTTAGTTCAAAGCACCCTGCTGCCATTTTTCAGTGTGGGGATGCTGATACATGTGATGCTTCAGTGGGTTAATTTCCCCACACCAGCAGACTTGATTAATCGAGTCCACTCCAATGCGCTGGATTTACAGTGTATCGGAGCAGCCTCCTTGCATGTGTGTAAGTGCCCAAAGTATTTAATAATCTCTCAAGTACCAGTCAGTCCGCTAACCAGATCAGAAATTAATTTATATAAATAGGTAATGCCAGAAGCTTAAACCTGCCTGTGTTTATCTTAGATTATTTCTTTTATTTCCATTTATTTTTCGCGTGCATTCTGCAAAAATCCTTAGTTCTGTTTCTCTGAAGAATTCCCAGTCTAGGAAATTTGATGGTTAAATTTCAGAAAGCTAATTTGTTTTGTCAAAGATTCAGAAATAGCTTCCAGCTACTGAATCATATTTTTGTCCCATAAAGGTAATACAACTAAGGATGCTTTCACTAAAAGACTTTCTAGCTTGCTGACAATAGTAACAAGAGGAAAATTGGGGGGGGGGGGGGGGGGTCTTGTTCCCAAAGGTAGCCTTTCTCTGCTATTATTTGTGTTCAAATCAACTGCACTGCAGAACAAAACAGGGAGAGAATAAGTTAGGCCCTTTTAAATAGTGAGGACTGTTGGTGACTTCAAACATCTAGCACAACTAAAAATCATCAAAGGGGAGGAACAGACCTGGACTGTTAGGCTGATGCCCTGGGACCCCCTGCCAGCTGGGGCTGCTCCAATCCAGCTCATTGTGCTGCGATCCTGGGCACACATGCAAATGGCAATAAACTCTGGAGTTTATTGCGTCACATTAATTGCACATGTAGATGTGCACTCAATGTACTAACTTGTGCAGTTTGTGTATATTGCCCTTTACTGGATTTTTTAAAAATGGGTCTTTTGGATGGCTGGGCAGCAGATAAAGAAGGAAAGGTAAGTCACTGTAGCCTGGGAGCTTATCCCAGGCGAATGAGTTCTTTTCCCAGTTCTTAAATGTACATTGTTTAACTACTGTGATTAAAAGCAGTCATAACGGTGCCAAGCATACACATCTACTTCCACAAATAATAAAATAGAAATAAAAAAACTTGAATTAACTAATTTGGGAAAGACTAGTTTTCAGTTCAGAGGTTTCAGTCCACACCACCTTAGAAAAGCAGATAAAAGCTGTCAAACATTGTCTTTTCTCTCTCCCCCACCCCCTCACTCCCACCCCATGCATCCAATTATTTCAAAAATAGAACAGCAAAAGTAGGAATTACTCATTACTAGGAATTATTAGTTACTATCACCAGGTTCATTTTAAATAATGTTACCACAAAGCAGCACATATGTGGCCATTTATTCACATTGTTCTTTCAGAAGACAGATGAGGACTTGTTAACATCTTATTGTCTTGGAGGAGAAGTCAATGAAGTTCTATAGATGCCTGCGCTGTACATCCCAGCATGTCAGTAAAATATGTAGTACAGATCTGTAATTACTAAAATGTTCTTTAGGTCACATCTGTATCTGCTGCCAAAGGGCACATATACAGCTTTTTTGGCCCATAAATCTCTACATGCAATCCTAATCCACCTGGAGGAAAGCCAACAACCTATTGGACATTTAGATTCCTTACGTCACTGGGGGCCAACTTTCTGACAGGCATCATAAATTATCCTTGCACCTTTCCTGACTGCCACTCCAATCTCTTTTCCCTGCCAATCTGCTGCCCTGCTTTCTGCCCTATCTGTCATGTGCCCCAAGCTGCCACTTGCCACATAGAAAGCCTAACCATGCCACTTGTGTCACACGTACCAAGGTTGGCCATACCCACTTTAATATTTTGGTTTTCTAACCATACTCAGAAGGGATTCACTAGGGCATCTGCCTTCATTTATGCTCTGTTGAGATCCTAATCTGCCCTTGGAAGCATCCCAGAAAAATGCAGAATGATCTTCCCACCTTTTATGCTGTTGGCCAAGTGGTTAGGCTTCTTGCCCATCTCAGCCAGATGGAGTATAAAAAGCAGTGTGTTCATAGAACTATGTGCAGCTTGCTGTACTTGCATAAGCCTTATCTGATGATCTTCCCACTTCACGTAGACATTTCAACTGTGTGTCTATCTGAACCACTATTATGGTTAATGATGAGTCCTTTGTCTTAATTTTACTATTATGATTTTAACTTAATGATCTGGATGCAATAATGTTGACTGAATAGTGCCTTTATTTTATTTTTGGCCTTCAAGAGTCTGGCTTGAAATAAAATAACTCTGCTGTTGTGACTCCTCTAGCATCTTAACCTCAGGATCTGGACAAACATCACATTAACACTGGTATAACTTGCACTGGTTTTGTACAGCAGTATAAGTTGCAGAGGTCTCTACAGAGGACATAAAACCAACTTTCTGAAGGTTGCTTCTGCAGTAGGTACCATTATAGCATTGTGCTACTAGGTGGTGTGGAAACTTTGAGACTGAAGCAGGCAGATGGCAGCTATGCCAGTATAACTTATACAAGTGTTGTTTTACTTTTATTTTTCCCAGGATAAACTTATATCAGTTTCCAGCAAGTTACACTGGTATAAGGTTATGTTATGTGCCCAGCCTTATACCAGTATAAGGTCAGTGAAAGTATATCTAGGCCCTTACTAATTTGTTAGTCATCAGAAGGTATACAAAACATGGGCTGCATAGGAAGATTCCTTCTGAAAGTTAAATGGCTAGATGTATTCAAGAACAGGGGTCTGCAACCTATGGCCTACAGGCCAGATCCAGCCTGTAGACCTGTGGGGGTTTTGGCAGCATTTAGTGGCAGGGTGTTGTGCCATGCCTTAGCTGGGCAGTGGAGAGTTTCAAGCATGCCTCTGTTGGGCAGCAGGAAAAAGCAGTGGCAGTAGCAGCCATGGCAGCAGCCAGGTTCTAAAGCCAGCCCACCTCAGACCTGAGCCAGGTACGTCATGCTGGTCCATTACCACAAAAACGTTGCTGACTACTGGTATAGAACTGTATTATTCTCTTGATGTGCAGCAGAAGTATAGTGTCACATACGGTTTGAAACCATACATATACCACTGAAGGGCTCTGAATGCTCAGTAAGGCAAAGAACAGTCTCCTGTAGTTGGGAGCAGGCTTAAGTTTGAGTGCTGTTAGATGAGAGTAAGCTCTAAAATAAAATATTTGCCTGCCACATGGAGCGTTTGTTAATGTGGAAGATGACATGTTCTCTTGTCCTTCTGCTTTATAGCAGCTTCACGTGTGACAGGAGAGTTAAGCAGCTGATAAATGAACCTCTCTTGGACCACGTCTACACGAGATGCTAACTGTGCAGTTGTTGCTGCGCAGTCATTTAGTACTTGCATAACCAAGTACTAAATGATCGCGCAGTAACAGGTGTTAATGCACAGTAGCGTTCTGGCATGGTTGCCTAGTGATGCTTACTGCACAGTAGCTGGCTACTACTGTGCAATAGCTCATTACTACTATGCAGTAGCATCGCATCACGGCTCATGCCTGGCAACACTATTGCACAGTAGTAACGAGCTACTATGCAGTAATAACGAGCGACTGCACAGTAAGTGTCTTATGTAGATGCAGCCTTAGAGATGAAAAAAGGTAGGAGAGGAGAAAAGGCCAGACAATAAGAACATGAAGGGATACCAAGTCTATTTGATTTTACTCTTACTTACCTGTGCAATCATGTCTGCAATTTCCGAATAGCTATGGCACTTCCTCACAGCTGAACGAGCTAAAAAGTCTTCAATGAGTCTTATGCCAATGCCATATCCCCTGAGGCAAAGAAAAGAAAATTATGTGCAAAAACTAAATAAGCACTTTAGCTGACTGAGAATGTAATGACGTAATTGCCATCAATATTTGGCAAAGCAATGGATAGTCTCTATACTGATCCATATTTTACCTACGACATTTATTTGGGATGAATTTGGCTTATTTTAGATTTTGATAAGCATTTTTTAAAAAGAAAAATAGAAAATAAATACCAACACCCCTCTCCCTGTGCTCAGTTGGCAGTGTTTTACAGTGATTCATGCTTGCATTTTTTCCTGGACAATTTCTCAAGTGGAGTTACATTTTGATTGCCTCTATTTAGGTTTTTATGATGGGCCCCTCATAGGGATATACTAGTTTCACATGCTATGTCTTTTGCTTCTGTGACTCACTGAGCCCAGCCTACATACTTTGGAAGTTTTTAGGAGACATTTGCACTTTGTTTTTCAGAGAGAAGTGTTGTGTTTTGTTTGAGCTGTAGCAATACGCTACTATTTATTACAATCATTTGTTACAAGTACAGTGCTGTTCTAGCCCACTGCACACAGTCCATCCCTTTGGAGCTCTCAGAAGCTTTACTTTCTGTGGTACCAATGCCTTAATATCTTTAATAACAGCCTTATACAATTATAAATTCATCTCTGGTAAGGCCTCTGTCAGGGAAGAAAAAAAGAGACTTCCCTACTAGGTCACATAACTTATTCTTTAGGTTGATCTATAGGTGGTTCTGGAATCCATCTTAGCATGGGAAACGTGGCTCACCTACCTGACATCGAAATCTCAAGTTGCAGAGATCTTGCCCCCTGCAATCTCTCTGAAATAACCTCAAACATGAGGTGAGCGAGTCCCCCCATTCCAGCATTTGCTCCTCTTCACCAACGTGTACCTCTCCCCCTCCTCTGCAGCTCTCTCTCTTTTGTCCTGCTTTCTCCTCTTTAGTTCCTTCTTTCTTTTTTCTTTTCCTAGCACACTGCTTCTCTTTTACCTACCACCCCACAAAAAGGATGCTAATCATCGTTGGCACATAGCTTCTGCATAAAACTGGGTGCATCTACACATGTACTTTACTGTGGAGCTGACTAATTACCTCTTCAGTGAAATATCACCATCTACATGTGTGTCTGTATTAGGGTTCAGTAAATTAATTAACTCCACTGTAGGATAGTGCTGTCTGGGATAGGTACTATCCTACAGCAGAGTAATTATGTGTGCCAAAACGCACATGTAGATGGTAACCAGGGCTGGCTGGGCACGAGGGTGCTACAGTGCCAGCTAGCCCCCACACTGTAGCACCCTGTGCCCCAGCTAGCCCCTCCACAACATGTTGAGATGGGGCAGATCAGCCCCGGGCTGGCAGGCTGCCCCCCTGGACCTCTTCCCAGGCAGGGCTGCTTCACCCTGGTTCAACATGCTGCAGTTCCAGGCACACGTGTAAACGCTGCGCCTGGGAGCAATAAACTCTTGGGCAAACTGCACCAGAGTTCATTGCTACATGCTAATTGCATGTGTAGATGCAACCACTATGTCTTTGAGGGCAGGTCTAGACAGACCCAGGTCGCACTCTGCTCATGCTAACTCTGGAATGAGAAGTGGTGTATATTAGGTCCCTAAGCATCCACTGCTAGCACTAGGAAGATGGAATTGGCTTTTAAATACTGAGATGTTCCATAAAAATTCTTGTGTCATGGTAAATGATTTTTAGACTTTGGAAGATGAAAAGTTTATGATGCTGACATGCATGTAAATATTAGCAACTAGGTCAAATTCAGAAATGATTTTTTTTCCATTTACACTAATTGTAAACACTAATTGTTTCAGAAATTTTTACTGTTCATTACAGGCTCTACCTGGTCCACCGAAGTTACTGATTTCATATTAAGGCTTATGACAAGAAGCCAACAATGTATTCCAGAGCTGCTTTTTGAAAGACTGAAGTTCAAAATAACACTGTATGATTCACCAGCAAACCATGAAATATTTATTTATTGCCTAAGTTTCAACATTAGCTTCACTGATAAATATTTCATTAGCTTTTATTAAAATATGTATGTGACCAACACGAGAGAGTGCTCAGTTTATTTTTATTTTTAACCATTAGGTAAACTGAAGTGACAAGCTGCTATAGTGGAAACCTGACAGCCTTATAATAGCTATACCTAGGTACTGTACTGAACTTAGAACATCTCTTCCTTTTACTATAGTCTTGCATAAACAAAGAAGTAAATGAGAATAGCTCAGGTGGCTAAGCTGTGTAACATTAAACCAGCCAATGGTATATTAGCAGGGAAGAATATGGCACTGTGTTCATCAAATGGGGGAAAAAAGAAAAAACCTTACAGACAGCTTATATAGTGGGAGAGGAGCAATATACTACTCCTTACCTTACAAGTGGAGCATTTCCCAATTTTTGCCATAGAACCTGAAAGGAACATGTACAGAATGTTCCAAAATGTGTGATTTGGCAAAAACAAAACAAAACAAAAAAACCTCATTCCAGGTGTTCTTCTGTCTCTTTTCTCCTTGTGAGTAGATCATGATTTTTCTCAAACTGATGAACACTTGAATAGTTTCTGTGAACAGGCACTTTTCTGTAATTTGTTCAGCAGCTTATTTGATTCAGAATGTGAGATGCTTTGATTAGACATGTAGGCCATACGGCGTGTTCCTTCTTTTTTCTGGATGGATACATTTCACTCTAAAGACTTGTCTACACCATCTCTTTAGTGCTAGGAACATGGCTGAGAGTTCCACCTCGCCTATTCACTCCCATAGGGATGCCCCAAATTGCAGACACAAAGCAAAAAAGCCGTCTTAGAGCAGTGTGTCTGAGGAACAGATCTTGCTCAGAACTACACTGACTCATTTCCAGGATGCAGTGCACACTGAGTAGGAGCAAGTGGGAAAAGCGTGTTTCTCAGTGGAGGTCACAGACTGGTCATAGAACATGTGTAGTTAAGCCCTTAGCATCTGGTGCTGTGCAAATACTCTTAACCTATTCAAAATATGTTTCCTGCTTATCTTCTATAATGTTACTTTTTATTAATTCTTTTGTAGTAATGTCCAGGAGCCTCAGTCATGGGCCAGACTGTCCTTACTGCAAAGAGCTCACCTGTTTAAAATTCATTGCTTTGGTGGAAAGCCCTGACATTTGGCTGATTTGCTAGGATGTCCATGAAACTAATCACTGAAGGGATTCAGTTAAGAGGAAGACATGTTCTAGGAACCTTCCCGTGGACAAAGAGTTCTTCTGTTGAGCTCTCCTGGCAGTTGTGATAATATTTATATTGTAAGCTCCTTAAAGTTTAAAGATTGCCCTGTTTTGTACTTCACTTGATCTTAAACACAGTGCTGGTACACACAAGATAAATAGAATATAAGGTTGGAGAAGTATATGCAGTTACATGGATGTCACTTTTTGTTAGGCTGAAAATATAAGCAGAATAAACTTGATACTTACATTCTGTCTAAATATTTGTTCACATCTTCATCCTTCTCATAGTCTTTACACAGTTGGGCTACCAAAGCCCCATAGGTGAGCACAAAGAGTTCTCTGCTCTGCCAAATGAAGGGAAAAATGTGGCATGGAAAGGCACAAACTACGTTCAAACATATATATCAATTTTTAAGCTATGGTGGTATATTCTAATGAAACCCAACTTTTATATTTCTAAGATCTTTTTGTCTATGGACAGAGAGAGCCAGGGTCTGATATAGATTTACTTTACTGATATCCCTCACTTATACCTCAGTCTCACAAAGGAACTTTACATACAAATATTGTTGACTGATAGAAATATCAGGAACAGGACTGATCCACACCCTCCACCCCTGTTTCTTATGCCAATAGAAGCACATGTGAATCCCAGAATGAAGAAGAATTATAAAACAAAAAAGTACATGCAAGACTAATGCCAAGCATTCTGGTTGTGAATAGTAATTGAGGCAGTGAAACAATTCAGGTCTATTACATCAGGGGCACCAATGTAAATGGTTAAATTAAATTGCATTAATAAAGGCACATTGGATCTAGTTCTTTACATTTAAAATCTGTGCAAAGTGGATGTAAAAAACTATAGGTTCAGAATGTTTTGCCATGCTTTACATGGGTGTAAATGACCACACATCAGCAAGGCACAGAATAAGTCCCATATTCCTTTCCTTTCCTTTCCTTCCAACAGTCTAATAAGAAGCCTTATTTTTACTTTTTTTAATTAATATTCCATTCCTAGTGTACTGTGCCACCAGATTCATGAAAACATGGGGCCACTGTTGTAAAGACCTCAGTTGTTTCACTGCCTCAGTTACTAATGCCAAACCTGAATGCTTGGCATTAGTCTTGCTTATCAATTCATGAAAAGGATCTAGTGTATTTGTGTATCCTTACTTTATTTCTGCCACATAATTAAGTAAATTTTTATTTCCAATTTTAAGCAAAGCTCTGTCCTGCCACTAATTCCACTTCCTTCTAAAAATGACTTCAGTCCAATCAACAGGTACATAAAATATTGCATGCACTAGCCAAGAATAAATCATTAAGTGTATTCAGGAATAGCAGATTAAACCTGGAGGATCTGTCTACATTAGAAAAGGGGACCCTGGCCCGCTAAATCAGTGGTACTCAACATTCTGGCCTCAGGGGCCAGAACAGTGATACAGGGTGGGTCTGCTGGCTGGCTCTTGCCAACGGGGTTAGTCTATGGACTGGATACAGTGGCTGGATTTGGCACATGAAGTCAGTCCACGGGTGCAACCTGGCTGTCGGGTGACCCGGCATGCTAAAATAATCTAACGTATGGGGTTGTGTCATCCAGCCCCCAGGGCTCTCCAGAGTTTCAAAAATGTGGTGGCAGGTGGGCAGTGGCAGCATTAATTGCTGAACCTCTGAAAGCTGTGGGAATAGGAGAAATAGAGCAGCCACTGCTCCCCACACGTTCCCCACAGCAGGATCACCCTGGCCTTGGGAAGGAGTCCCAGCAGTAGGAGAGAGTGGGTTATAGCAGGCTGAATAAGCACTTATAGTACTCCCTCCCAGTGGCAACACATAGGCAGTACATGGGGGTGCACATGCACCCCCTGAGAGCACTGGTGCACTCCCTGATTGGCCACGCTCGCCACTTAGGTGATGGGCAGGGGGGGCAGGCAGGAGCACTGGTGCCCCCCTACAAGCAGCAGCTGATCACTGCAGCTGCTCCCAGAAGTGGCCGCAACCACTCCCAGAAGTGGCTGTAGTGATCAGTTGCAGCAATTGGCCATGGCAGAACTCCCTCCAGGCATCGAGATCTGCCGCGGCAACCTCCCCACCCCGGCAGCAAGATCAGCTGCAGAGGGACTTCTCCCCCTCCACCCGGGCAGTGAGATTGGCCACGGGGGACCAGTGAGACTAGTCATAGGGGGGGCGTGTGCCCCCCCCCCAACTAAGGCAGCACCAGTCACCCATGCTCCCTTCTCTTCTCAGAAATTTTCACCGCTAAAAGTGAGCGCCTGTTTGCAATCCACAGGTGAGCAAGAAAAGCTCTCCTGTTTAGCTTAGTAAGACAAAAGGCACAATCTGATCCTATACAAAAATGGTGAGTTGGTAGGGGATATTGTGACAAATGTAATATCTTAAAACATCTGTTAGAAGAAAAAAATATTTTGCTCTGGAGGAAAGTGTCCACTGAGTGGGGTTTCTTTTGTTTTGTTTTTTTTAATGAAAATGTGTATTTCTGAAACAGCTTGCATATGAATTACTGAGAAATCCAGATAAACCCCAGGAAATGCAGGAGCATAGATTTGCTGCATACCATATGATGAGCTGATGCAGAGGATGAAATGGTGGGCAATTGCCAATCCTACAACATAAAGAGAAGCAATGAAAAAATGACAAGCATTCATAGAAATTCTTTATGTTGCATTTGATGAAGAGCTAAATGAAAGAAACAAAATGTGATTAAATGGGGAGTAGAGGCAATTACAAGAGAAAGTTAAATCACAGTAGCAGGAATGAGCCTCAGCAAAAAAAAAAAGCCACTGTGAAGCTACGGTTACTAGGTACTGCCACTATAAATAAAAATAATTATTCATTTTTTTTTTGTATGGGTAAAATGATGTTCCAAAGTATTCTCAATAGTATAATCTCAAAATGTAATGTAGCACCATGTTTTTCCTAGTCTGATTTTTAGGTTTTCCTCATCATTATCATTATCATTATTTTATCATTATCATTTTATCATTTATCATTATCATTATTTTAAGAAAATGTGATTATCTTCCTTGGATCTCTTGAGTGTATTTTAACAAATGATTTCCTGCCCTTGTAGCAACAGGACTCTCATATCTATGCTTTACCTGTGGCAAGTTAAAGGATTTTTTGGATGTTTCAGGCATTATGGCTGGCAGTTGTATATGAGGGTTGTTCCTTAAGTTTATAAGGATCAATTAGATAAACACTTATCTAGGTTAGTTTAGATAGGAATGATCCTGCATTCAGTAGAAAATTGAATTAGGGGTGTAGATAGATGTTCAGGCCCCCACTGTAACTCACGGTGCTTTACAAAAAAGTTAGAGTTGGACGCTATTCCCCCCCTCCCTGCAACTGTTGGGTTGCGGGGTGGAGGGAATCAAGCCTGCCTGTACTGGCCCTCCTGGCAAGAAGATGGGGACACTCCAGCAGCCTCTGAGGAGGTGGCTGAACTGTCCCTGTCCCCAACCCCACCCTCTTTGTCCCAGCTCCAGGGCTGACAGCAGGGAGGGAGGGGAAGAAGGAAGAGGGGGAAGCAAGCAGGCCTTTGCCTGGCCTGAGCTGGAGGTGGTGTGAGGATTGGAGCCCCCTGCCTCAGGATCCCCCCAGTACCCGGGCTGAGGTACTGGGGAGAGCTGGGCTGGGCCCATGAGGTGGGGGGGCAGTTCCAATCCACCCATCTCTCACCAGCTCAGGCCAGGCAAAGTTCAATGCTGCTCACTTCTC